TGTGATGCTATCAGTATGGACCAAACTCTCTAAGGAATGTTTCCATCACCTTGTTGAATCAATGCCACAAAGAATTAAAAGCAGTTCTGAAGATAAAAGGGGTCCAAACCAGTACTAGCAAGGTATACCTAATAAAGTGTCCAGTGAGTGTAGTTCTAACTAATGCTATACCCATACTATACCATAAACTCTGTAATACAGGAGCTGTAAACTGTAATACGGGTGCTGTAATACTGTACTGTATAGCAGATCCCAGCTGACCAATGGAAACAGGTAATAGAGAGGTGTGTTCTTACTTTGTGACAGTGTGCTCTGAGGCTGCCTGACAGTGGGACTGGAGATCACATACACTACTGTACTGTAATGAGCATGCAGTACTGGGAGTGACCACTAGGGAGCGCACAGCACTTGTTCACAGACGATCGCTCACAGCAGCTTTTTCCCAGAATAATACAGCAGCAATAACATTACTCAGCCTGTTCCCTGGATAATGCAGCATCAATTACTTTCTTCACCCTGCTCCTAGGATAACACAGTGGCAATAACATTCCTCAGCCCCCTCTCTACCCTTTCATGCTGCAAAGCCTGCTCTCCGTTTCATAAAAAGTCCCAGAGCATCAACAGAACAGCGAGTACACAGATTTGTTTTTTGACGGTTAGATGAGATTTCCGGTTGTTTAAATACCAGATTAACCAACTCGGATAGCCTCCTAGAAATGTGCGTATGGTTCATAAGAAGCAGGGGAGAGAGAAACGAGGGGAGAGAGAGAAAAGAGGGGAGGGCGAGAGAGAGAGAGGGGGGGGCGAGAGAGAGGGGGCTCTGTTAAACTCCCCATCAGAGAAACTCACCGTTTCTTTCTGCTATGGATTTACTTAATTTCTCTTCCTTCCATAAGCTCCCATGTATGCTTATGTGGAAGTCTGATTTTTCTACTCGTTTCACTGATGAACAATGGCAATGCGCTATTAAAGCCAATACTTTACATTCTAAAATGTGTCACTAATTGGGAAATCTCCTACAAAATTTTGACTAGATGGTATCTTACTCCTTTTCGACTTTCCACAATATTCCCCTCACATTCATTACTCTGTTGGCGAAACTGCGGTCGAATAGGTAGTTTCACTCACATTTTGGTCATGTAACAGTCTACGTAGCTATTGGAATAAGATATTCAAACTATTGACTACTATAACTGGCATACTCACCACATTGCCACAATTGGCCTTACTGAATATAGATATACATCTGTACCCTAAAAACTACCATTCTGTAGTCATGCATATTTATTCGCAGCCAGGCATCATATTGCTAGTTTATGGAAAATGCCCACAGCCCCATCCCTACGGGAAACAATTTGAGTGCATACCTATTGTATGCACGAAAAACTGATGGCTTTTCAAAATCAATCACAAATCGCAATTTCACTATCGATTGGACGCCTGGCTGGCATTTATGCTTACTTAAATAGTAGCAGAACTGCATTCTACCCTTATGACCACAAGTGGATACTGGAACAAAGTCCACTGACCATCTATTACCTCATATGCATAACAATCTTCAATGTGCTTTATAGTTATTCCATTCTCCTATGTAATTACACACTTCCTCTTTCCCCTCTTTCGCCTTTGTTTTACTTCTCATTCAGGTCTACTCTCTGGTTACTCTTCACAGTTATTATTGGTCTCATACCTTATTAGATTTTCACCGGAGTAGCGTTCACCTTATCAGGAGGTGTGGAAATTTTGGAAAAAACTACTTGTCCAAGGACTAAAGCGGGGGCCGAATCTAGTTGTCTCTCATGACAATCTACTTGTCCTGATACAAAAAAAATTATGTTAACCAAAACCGTATTTAGCAGTGCTGAGAAGCGCTTCTCATTGGTCAATGCCGTCAGGTGACTGCGTTGACCAACGAGTGCTTGCAATTTGCGAGCGAAATTCAGAATACATGGAACAGGTGCAGATAGTACACCCGTACTGGTGGATGGAAAGGACCGGTCGCCGAAAGGTAAGTATAGTGGGAGGGAGATTTGTGCGGGTAATTCCATTTTCCCAAATTACTTGGGAAAGTGAATATACCCTTTAGGGTTGGTGCAGACTTGCGGATTCCCGGGACGTGCGATCGTGTGCGGTTGCATACAGCGGTTGCATCCGCATGTATGGGGTTACATCTGGGTGGCAATTGCTGAAAGAAAAAAAAAAAAAGGTACATGTACCTATTTTCACGACACGCACCGCGTTTTCAACCGTGATCGTGTGGGATCACCCGGGCGTTATTGCCGCAGGAAAACGCGCAATCTGCCTGGCACGACTGGGGTGCCATTAGAAAATAATGGCACTGACAGTACGATCGGCGGTGGTGTGCGATTTCGTGACCACCCAGCCATCCGCTCGGTTTCGTGCACGATGACAGGTCAGTCACAGATCGCACACCACCGCCGATCGCGCTGGCAGTGCCATTATTTTCTAATGGCACCCCAGTAGCCCCGCCTCCCGCTCTCGGCGCTCGTTTAAAAAAAATAAAACCAGCCCTGCTACTTGTCCGTAGCAGTGGCAGGGTTAAAACAGTGAGAAAACCACTTGCTCGGAACTACATGTCCCCGGCGTCAGGCGATATGAATTCCACACCCCTGCTTATGTACCCCTAGTTCCTTGTTTACTCATAAAGGAAGTTAAATTACTGGAGGTTGGATGCTTAAGTTTTTAATATATTTTGTGGTAGACACTACAATCCATGTACACCACTTGTCATGCTCATTTCTTTTTTTCTTTTTTTTCATGACCAATGCGGTGTAATTTTTATGATGACAACAAAGGTTTGTTTTCTTTTGTTTACTTTGTATATTTTGAAATTTGAATAAAAAATTTACAGTAAAAAAAATGAATAAGAAGAAGAATTGGATACCACAGTAGGCCAATACAGTATATCATCATATGTGGGCCCTCTCACCACTATTCTGGGCAACCCAGAATTCACTCCGAGGATTATGTGCTCAAAGTTTCTTACATGGAACTCTTTAAAGCCATCGCCCATTATAAATGCAATATCAGACTCTGGTTTATTCCCATTAGTCTCATTAATGCCTGAAGGCTATCCATCAGGCAGCCAATGGCTTTTGAATTTACAGTTGAAGCATTGAGGCGAGCTCTGACTCCCTTCGAGGCCTTGTGTCCTAATAAAAAATAATGTAAGCATAAAGAGTCTAAGGTGTACCATTTACTTGTGACACATGTTTTTCCTAATCACCCTTACTATACTAGAGGCTGGGAAGATGAATTGGGCCATAAGATCTCAGTAGATTATTGGAACCGCTCCTTTGTATTAACATTGAAATCAAGTATTTCTAGTTATATTCAGGACCGGAATTTTAAGCCATTGACTAGATAGTATAGATGTCCTACCTCTTTACATAGAATTTTCCCAGAGACATCTGATAGATGTTGGAGGTGTGGAACTGGGTGGAACTTTAAGCTAAGGATCCCAAGAGAGAGGATCCTGCCTGAAGGGTGGAGGGTAGCAAGATAAGAATAGGGAAAAGCAACGGTTGAATTATATGGATGTATTATACTGTATGTAGTACTCTAAAATGAGGACGTGTACTATAGTACAATAATAATCTGTTGGACCCCTTCCTCTGTGCAGTGTAGGAATGTAAATTTTGTATTAATGTGATAAAAAAAAACAATACAGTCTTGATAAAGAAAAAAAAAATTAAATCTATAAAAAAGTGCCCATGTTGACAACTTTCTTTTTCAAAAATCAATTAACATTACAACTTACAATACATATTAAAATACTGTCCTCCGTTTTTTAAAAAGATGCTTACTTTTATTAATGCTGCTGCCATGGGCTCCTCATGAACAAGCACTCAGCTAGGAGAACTCAGCTTGGCTAACTGTGCATTCACAGTCCATATAGTTTTTTAAAAGCAGAATGCAGCATTTTAATATGCATTGTAGGATGTAGTGTTAATGGATTTTTGAATTCACCAGTCAATGAATTCCAAATGAAGTTAAGCAGTTCAAAGGGATGTCAAACGGATGGCATCAACACAGGCCCTAAATGTAAACCATAGGTATGGACATTTTAGGAGGTTTTCCACTTTTATATAGAAGATAGGGGGGAGGGGGGAGCTTGTTTTCCCTCACCCAATGGGCAGAAATGGCACAGTGAGAACCTCTGGATAACAGGTTTTTATTTAAACAGCGCAATGGAGCACCTCAGGGCACAACAGCACTATTTGCCCCTTCTCAAGCATCACAGTTTGACTTGTGATGGAATTGCATTACCAATGTTATCCACCCTACAGGACTAATGTATATTTTGGTGCCCACGGATCTCCGCAGAGAAGTCTAAATCTCTTGTTGCCTACGGTTACCAATCTGGAGATCAGCACTACTAGCATGTAAACAATCTCTGGAAAACCACACCAGTGTTTATACTATCAAGCATTACTGGCAAACTGTACTAGCCTGGAAGTCTTTCTTCCAGTGAAAATGGATTGGATAGTGTGAGAGAAGACATTAGGGTAGGGGCCATGCGCATTACTAGTCCATCCTTCAAGCCAAAAAGGAATTCTAATTTTGCTGTGGGAGAGGCCAACTCTGGGGAGCTGAAGGAAAACATTGATTGTCCCAAGTCTGGGCTCATTGTCCTCTGGACCCCACAACCTACTAGGAACCACCTCATCTTTGTAGTCATTGAATGCGGCAAAAAGACTGTGAAATTGAAACAAGTATTTTGTCATACATCAGGATGTTGGTGTTCAGAATATAATTACTGTCCATCAGCACATATTGAATGTCTCTTCCAACAGTGGCTTTTAGCAGCACATTGACTAACACAGACGAAACGACTGTGTTAGTTAGTGTTCTGCTAAAAGCCACAGTATGAATTACCATCATACTATGATACTCTATATGTAAATGGAAGCTTGACCTATTCATACTGTTTGTTGAATTCAGACAAAGAAATTAATAAGTAAAATTATGGTACATACCTTCATAATTACTTCAAAATTAGTAAATATGTTTTGGCTGTTTAGATTCCCAGTCTTATACCTGTGAAAAGGATAGAAAGTTATACAAGTTTTGTATACAAAATAATATTGGCCAAGAGATACAACTATCCAAAACACTGAAAAGTACTTCACTTGTACTACAGCTAAGGAATACAAGTTTTAATTTAGGTTTGTAAACAAGAGACCTAGTATGTAAATATTCCTCCCCTAGTATAGCCAAAACTGGGGGAAACCAAAAAAAAAAAAACACTTTAAATTTATATCTACCATATAAAACAAAATGTCCTCTCCAGAACATGCCCATAACAACGGATTCATATATAAACAATACTTAAAGTTTTGAGAAAGTTTGTGAAAACTTTTACATATCTTATGTTCTTATACAAATTAACATCTGCCTTGACACATTTCATGGTGGATGGGTTATTGTGATTGAGCTGCCCAACTGGGTATAAATGGAGTATTTCAAAACAATTAGACAAAGTTGTACTCAATAGATAGAGAAAAACGATGATTGGAGGCCTTAGCGTTTTAGCAAATTAATTCCGTTTCCACCACACCTTTTCAGGTTGCCTGGTGTTGGGTTACAACAAGAGTTGATAACTGAAAACCTTCATATACATGCCATCTTCAGCTATTAGACCAGTGGTTCTCAACCTGTGTAACCTCGGGACCCACATTTTTCCTTGGTCATGAAGTCGTGACCCAAAAATGATTCATTTCTGAGACATTTTCATTTATTACACAAAACAACTTGTGCACTATTCAGCAACGTATATATATGCACATTTTAAACATTATTGGGGGTATGGAATTGTATTGTGGGGGGTATGTGGGGCTTTGGAGCTTTAGTAGGGGGTAGGGGCAGTATTGCAGGCAGTCCCTGTATCAGGCATAACAATGTGACACATGGTCACATTTTTGGTTACATATACAAAATGCAGTTACATTGAGTAAATAGATACCAAACATGTCAAGTGTTAAAATTGCATGCACCTCAGCAATTTGATGGATATTATGTGGGCTTGGAATACATAATATCCATCAGTGTCCCCTGTCCTGCCACAGTGCACATCTCCCTGTCTGCCTGCCTACCTTTCTCTGATTCCAGTCAGACTGTCACTGAACTATTTGCACTGGAGAGTACAGTAGATACAGCGGCGGATTGATATCTGCTGTACTCTCCAGTGCAGGCCAGGCCGGAACTTTAACTTAATTGTCGGGAGCCGCGGCTCCTGATATTAATGCACCGGCGAAAGTGAGAAAATAGTCCCTTCTCTCCACGGGCCATACCTCTTTATCGGAGAGCCCGTGGGAGGCCGGGAGAGAGGGGACAGTTTTACATTATGGAGTTCTCACAAGCTGTACTACAAATTCCCCTCTCTATTTCGCTCTACTGCAGATGGGCCGCTCCATGAAGAAATGACACCGCGACCCACTGCAGAAGGTGTCGCGACCCACTTTTGGGTCGCGACCGACGAGTTGAGAACCACTGTATTAGACTCTGTAAACATCAAATTATTTTTTGTCAGCAAACAGAACCAAAGCCTTTTTTTGTCCTTTGAGTGCATGTTTGCAAGAAAGGTCCATCAGGACTACATGCAGAATGGGAAACCACAGGAAGTATCGTTAAAAATAAAAAGTTGCAGGCGTCATTTGTTTTGATGGTAGTACTAACAGGCCTAAATGCAGAGAACCTAGCCACAGGAAGATGTCTTAGTATAAAGTTCCGAGTTACACCACTCAGGTATGAATAATGTAGTAAATAGGGCTCACCAGACAATAGAGAACCACAAAGTTCTGAGACAGCCAGAGCTTGCACAACTCTCACTAGAGGGTTCCAGAGCACTGCATACTGTTCTCAACTGCTGACAGCCTATCAATGTCAGTCTTGAACAGATGCTTGGTCATGCATCCACAGGATGTCCTAACAAGGCTCTGTGCACACCTAGGCATTTTGTCGCTCAAAGGAAAGCATGACAAAATGCTCAAGACAAGGAATCCCATATAGAGTGAGATAGTTTTTCTGCTTGCAACAGAAAAGGTGCCATAGAAATGAATGGGATTCCTTGTCCTGAGCATTTGGCCACGCTTGCCATTGAGCGACAAAACACCTGGGTATAAACGTGGGCGTAACTGTCACACAACCACTGCCCCAGCAGCACAGTAAAAAACACACAATAACCCTGCTTAGACTCTCCGCCCCCCTCTCAGGAGCAAATCATCCTGACTGTATATAGATATATACACTATATTGCCAAAAGTATTGGGACATCTGCCTTTACACGCACATGAACTTTAATGGCATCCCAGTCTTAGTCAATAGGGTTCAATATTGAGTTGGCCCACCTTTTGCAGCTAGAAGAGCTTCAACTCTGGGAAGTCGTCCACAAGGTTTAGGAGTGTGTCTATAGGAATGTTTGACCATTCTTCCAGAAACGCATTCGTCAGGTATCGATATTGGACGAGAAGGCACGGCTCACAGTCTCCGCTCCAAATCATCCCAAAGGTGTTCTATCCTGTTGAGGTCAGGACTCAGTGCTGGCCAGTTAAGTTCCTCCACCCCAAACTCGCTCATCCATGTCTTTATGGACCTTGCTTTGTGCACTGGTGTGCAGTCATGTTGGAACAGGAATATTTAGTAGCAAGGAAATGTCACGGATGGACTTATTGCACAGGTGGCAACCTATCACGGTACCACACTTAAATTCACAGAGTTCCTGAGACCGACCCATTTTTTCACAAATGTTTGCAGAACCAGTCTGCATGCCTAGGTGCTTGATTTTATACACCTGTGGCCATGGAGGTGATTGGAACACCTGAATCCGATGATTTGAAGGGGTGTCCCAATACGTTTGGCAATATAGTGTATAATAATATCAGGGCTCAAAATTTCCACTCGCCTTACTCTGCATCACACCACTGGCCTCTGCACTCTGCATTGTTACTGATCTCTGTTCTCTGTGTCACACCACTGACCTGGCGGAGTTAAGGGCGGGGCACGGTAGGGGTCAGGTGGGGCGACTGGTGGCGAGTAACTCTTAAGGCCTGGCTAGTAGCTCAGGACTTGAAATTTTGAGCCCTGATAATATAATATAAAGTATATGGGCATCTTTACCACCTTGTTAGGATCTCTCTTGGACCTGACTTGCTATACTGCTCTTAAAAGTCAGTATAAAATATTTCTCCCAATCAATTTTCAAGATAGAATAGCCCAACTCTCTGTCCCAATCTCTAGTATTGTAGGGCACCTGCGGAGATACTTGAGATACTTACATATTATTTGAGGTTGAAGACACAGGTCCATCGAGTTCAACCTTTGTTTTTCTGTGTGTATACGAGTCTGTGTGTGTTCCAGTCTTTAGGGGTACCTGTACCCCTGTATGTTATGGTCTCTGAGGAAGGTAGCTTAATGATTTTTGACTGATTCAATACTTTCTGCTGATATCATTGCTTGCGGAAGAGAGTTCCACATTTTAACGCTCTAACTGAAAAGAAGCCCCTTGTGCTTAAATTTATTTTCCTACAGTTTTAAGTATTCTTTATAGAGTTTACAGTAAAAAGCCTATTACTGATATTAGTATCACCATTAAACGATGTGTACATCAAACTCATGTACCCTCTTAATCGCCTCACTTCGAGTGAACAAATTTAAATTTAGCAACCTTGTCTCATAGCTTTGGTCCTCCAGCCCCTTAATTAGTTTGGTTGCGCTTCGCTGTACCCTCTCCAGGTCCAGGACATCCTTTCTGTGAATTGGTGATCAAAATTGAACTGCATACACATGAGGCCGAACCAGTGATCCGTAAAGTGGCAAAATTATTGCTTTGTCTCTACAGTACATACCTTTTTTTAATGCATGACAGTACTCTGCTAGATTTGTTTGCTGTAGCCTGACATTGCATGCTATTGGTTAATCTCCAGTCAACTATGACCCCCAAATATTTTTCCACTTCTGACTTCCCATTAATGTGCATTCTGCATGCCTGTTTTTAACCCCAAAATGCATTTATTTTTTTTTACGTTCCCCAAGGCAGAATAGTATTCTGCTTTGGGGACATGTCCATTCTTCTTTGGGAACATGTGTTCTGCGAATACATGTCACCAAAGCAGAATTCCTCTCACCAGGCTGTGTGTCGATCTCACCCGGGCGATGTGGACATCTGCAGTGGCTCTGCAGGTACTCCACCTCACCCACTATGCTGGGACCCAGCCTCCTACATGTCCAGAACGGCGATGCTGGGACCCGGCTTCCTACATGTTCTGCCACGTCCAGTCCAGCCGACTATCTGCGCTGCTGGGCCCTGCGACTTTCATCCATCCCCTGGCCCAGTCCTCCCCATCAGTGTGCGGCAGGAACCCCTAGCTTCTAGCCCTGGGGCAGCCGCTCCGGCTGCACAGCCGGTAGTCCATGGCTGTGCCGGCAAGGAGGATCAGGAGATAAAGAAACGGACACTGCCATGGAGAGCTATGTGCAGATCACCAGCAGGCTGCCAAGGTCCCCACAAGCTCAGGAACTCGGACGGCCGTTGCTGTTTAAAAATGTAAAGGGTCGGTATCGGCCTTAAGAATCGGGGCAGTTTCACGAGTACAAGTACTCGTGAAAATGACTGGTATCGGCCCTGATACAAGTATCGGTACATCCCTAATATAAAGTTAAAAAGCATTAAAGAGTAGTTGGAAATACTTCTCAGAGAAGCAACATCACTTGGGCTGTTTGAGGATAGAGTACTTAAAGAGATTAATGCCCGAGTGACCTGTAATACCAATTTTCCACCATCTTCCTAAAGTTCATAAAGAAGGTCGCCCCATAAAAGGGTAGACAGATTGTGGCGAGCATTGGATCCTTATGTGATCCACTAAGTGATGCTATAGATGCACTTTTACAACCTCTAATGAAGAAGATTTTGCCCAGTTATACTCGTGATAAAAAACACATTATATAACAACTTGAAGGATCTGAATCGGAGGCAGGGTTTAAGTGGATGACAAGTGATGTTGCTCCTCTCTACTCGAGCATTGCACACTCTGAGTTAAG